TAATGGCTTTCATCTATTCAGAGGGCTCTGCCCTCTCAACCTAAATACCTCCTGAAAGGCCCCACCTCCTAGCACTGTTGCACTGAGGTTTAAGCTTCTAACACGTGAATTTTGGGGGTCACATTTAGACCATAGTGGTTATCTATGGCTAAATATCCTGAATATCATCACCAATATCTACTCTTTTCTCTGGACCATTTTTCCTTCCTTTTTCAAATTTTACCTATTTATACGATAATTTTGCATTACATTAGGATCCAGAGAGAGCTGATAATCAAGTGTATATTTACTTGACAGTGAGAATTAACATGGCACTATATTTGGTTAATGAATTTTGACAAGAATTTTTTGGAGAAAATGTCCTAATGCAAAGAATTAGTATTATTACAAGTTATAGACTTCCAGTTTTATGCCTTCCCAGTAGAGGTGATATTTTGAGGCATTTAGGCCATTATTATACTTCACATTTCTTTATAGAAGGTCACTTACTCTGCATGGGGTGGCCTAGCCAAGACTGAAAGAATATACTTGGAAAGCTTAGGATCTTTCAATCAATCACGGTATGTCAGAGCTGTAAGACACCTCAGGGATCACTGGGTTTAGCCCACAGACAGCAGATTAAGTGCAAGGACTGAAACAAGAACTCAAGTATTGTGATTGCTAGATTAACTATTGTTGTGTAGTAAGGTTAGTATGTTCACTTTGAATTTCTTTTCAGTAAATAAGGATTATCTTTATCATTAAAATTACTCCCATTAACATTGAGGTTCTGAATGCTTCAAATATGGATATTACCTATTGCACAATGTAGCACATATAAAACAAGCCAATATTTCATTGCTCTTTTCTCTGATTTCCTACTATTAATATAGTATGCATCATTGATCTGAAATTTATATTTTGGAGTTAGCTTTAAAAATTGAATCGCAAAGAATTATCTTCCTTAGCTTGGACTGACTGCTGATATATTTATGCTTCTCTTTATCTTGTGTCTTTAAGCTTTTCTCCCTTTTCCCAATATTATTGTCTCTGCAGGCAGCAGCGTGGAATTTGATTGGTGTGCTGTCTCCAGTATCCGCACACTGCGTCAACTTGGCAAGAAGACAGTGGTGGTGAATTGCAACCCTGAGACTGTGAGCACAGACTTTGATGAGTGTGACAAATTGTACTTTGAAGAGTTGTCTTTGGAGAGAATACTAGACATCTACCATCAGGAGGTAAAAAAAGAAAAAAAAAACAAAAAAAAGAAGATATATACAGTGCACACTTTATATATGTGTATTCATGTATGTAGATTTACATTGTAATTCCCCTTAGGAAGAGGAACTGCCAGTGCCTTCCATTGCTTAATGTTGTAATGAAACTCTAAAAAAAAAACATCACTCCAGACTTTTTGAGGCCCTGGCACAGAGTGATTATTTTTCATGTAACATTCACTTTTTCTTTCTAAGCTTTCCATACTGAAAACTCTACTTGGTATCATAACATGTGCCAGCCACATGGTAACTAGTACAAGATGGCCCCTCATAAATATTTTGCAGAGTGATTTAATTGGTTATTTAGTCATATAACAAACAGCCTCTTTCTAGTTCATGTGATATGGTTTAATGGTGAACGGTTCCCAGAAGAGTCAATTGTTCACACAAGACCAGTTAATTCCTTGCTCCATCAGATGAAGCTATTAACCTTCAGTTTAAGATCAGTGAGTCTATTCTGAATTTTGAATGATTTTGGTTTCTTTATAGCCTTCACTTACAGTTGCTCCTCCATTCCCACTCCAATACTATTGAGTGCAACTGCACTGTGGTTTCA